CATTCTTATAATAAAATATTTTATATGTAAACCCATAAATTTCTATCAATGTCAATCACACATTCTCCAAAAAATATTATTCAAAATTATATTTTAAATTTTTATGGCCGACAAACAAGGACTTAGCCCTCGTTTGTTACTCATATTTTGCCCATTAAAATGAAAAATATGATCATTATCCATCACATCAAGCCACTATATTTGACTTTTTATCTCTTGTGTGGGATCCGTAACGACTATATTTTTCATTCTCATTTTTATATTAATGTGTACCAAACGAGACCTTATATTCATCTTTTTTATGACCATCTATATGCAATGATTTAAGTTAGCCTCGTTTTTATGGCCTTTAATTTAATTTACTTTATTTTTCACACTCATTTTCAATCATATATTTATATAATAAAATATTTTACATGTAAATAAAATTTTTTCCTACTTTTAAATCACACATTCTTCAAAAAATGCTATTCAAAATATAATTTTGAGTATAATAAAATAAAAACAAAATGAACAATAAAGGAAAAAGGTTATTAGGCTATGGGGGACAAAATCAGACGAGAGGTTTGGGTGATGAGGTCTAAGGGGAGGAACTTTGGATCATGAGTAAGAGACGGGGCCTTGATGCTGAGCGAGGAGGTCGGGGTATGTCCGGGGCAAAATGAGATGTGGCGAAATTGAGGAACTAGGACTACATTTTAATTAGAAAGTCGGAAAAAAAAATAGAAAGAAAAACTATTTTTAAAGTTGAAATCAATCTGTGACATGTCCATTAGCTTGGGAACCAAAGTTTCAATTTTTTTTCCATAAATATATATTTTTCCACCCCTTAGGCACGAGACTATTGTGACTGTTTATTTCTATCCCCCCATCCCATTTGCACCCAAATTTACCAATAAAATGAAAATAACTAGGGCAGTGCTACTTTTTGTGTATATAGGGCGTGTTTAATAGACATTTTTATATAAAAATACATTTTAGAATAGTAAATTGATGTGAAATATGTGGTTGAGAAATAAAGAAATTTTTTTTATTTATGTGTAATATTATTTTAATAAACAATATGTGGTTAAAAAGAAAAAAGAGAAAAATACATTTTGAAAAAAAATGACTACCAAACGGGGCCTAGTAGATGACACCCCCCTCACGTGGAAAACTAGGATAGTGCTACCTTTCGTGTACATCATAGTTGACACCTCCTCTCCATGTGAGGAAGATGTCATCTATTATGTACGCTAAAAGTATACAACTATTATTATCCAAATAATTAAAATACCCCAGATATTACTTATTTGCTATTGCCACTTTCACTCGCAAAGATAACTAGTTGGGAAAGCACTTCACTCGGAACCAGATTCCTTGCAAGTTGCAACAGTGTACCCGGTTGTACGCTTTAGTCTTTAGACAGCGTTGCCTTTTTTTTTTTTTTCTAAATTTTTAGAATATTAAATGAGCTAATTTCTAGTTGAGTGTAATTGTTTTTTTCGTAATCGGCCCGTTTGGTCCCCTATTATTTGAAATTTAAATGGTTAAAATAATATATATTTTTTTTGAAGAATATATAATTAAAAAGGAAGAAAATATTTTGAAATTATGTGGAATATTATTTTATTGAAAAATGTGTGATTAATAAGAATAGGAAAAAATAAATTATAAATTTAATGAGAGTCAAACTGTAATGTTTATATGTTCAACATCATAAAGTTATGTTTTGCTTCTCGACTTTCACCGTTCAAAAAATATGAAGCGAGACATGCATAGATGGAGGCATATGATAATTCAATGAAGTTTGAGAATACATTGATTGTTGAGAATTGATTAGACAAATATAATAATCGGTTTAAGATCAAATTGCTTGATTAACACCGTTGACTCTGTAAATGACGTGTACAATATTTTTTAAATCTAGAAACTGAAAAGTCAAAATCTACATGCATGTGCATGCACCACAGACAATATTCTCCCAGTCAACTCGGATTTGCTCTCCAACATGGCAGTTGAGCCCCTCTCTCCCTCTGTGTGTGTGTATACAAATTATACATACACAATCCATACACGAACCATAGTCAGTTTAATCACGTGCTACCTAGTGGTGCCCGCTTTTTCGTATACTCTCTGTCCCCCCACTTTCTTCCTTTTTCCCTTTTTAGTCGCTTTCGTTCGTTTGTATTTCCCCGGGGTAAAAGTATGGATTAAAATGGTTGCACGGGTCAATAACATGGGCTATTTTCGGGCGTTGAAATGGAAATTTCTGGCCTCCCATTTGGCACCCATTAAATTCAACTACATTACATTTTATTTTTCACTCTTTTATTTTCAACCACACAATTTTCCATAAAATAATATTATACGTAAATAAAAAACTTTTTCTTTTCTTTTCAACCACTTATTTTTCAAAAAAATACTATTTCACCCATTTTTGTTTTTAGAAAATGGGGACTTGATTAGCAGCTTTTTATTTTCATTTTTATTTTTAATTAACTGCCAATGGAATTTTGTCAAATGTATATTTGTATTAGGTGATAATTGGTGTACAAGTAGGGATTCACATCTCACATCATGGGGGTGGGGTTAATTTTTTGACATCGTTTATATTCAGATGGGACCCACAATTTGTGAGGTTTTGTAAATTTTCTGTAGGCCGAAAATCTGTACACTAATCATTTTTGTTGTACTAAACCCTACCCTATTCTTGTAGTAGATTCGTAAAAAATATTACTTTTACAATTTTTGGGAAAATTCCAACCGAAGGAGATCATTAAATTTTAATTTCCTGGGATAATAATATTTGATTTAGTTTCAAATTTCAATATTATCACATTTTGCTATCTATCATCCCCAAACTCGTTGAGTCCAATTTCTTCAAAAATTCATTTTTCGAAAACTTATTTTCAACTCAATACTCTTTCCATAAAATAATTTTATACGTAAATTCAATATTTTAAAATTTTTTCACCACATATTCTTCAAAAAATTATCATTCCAAAACACATTTCCTACAAAAGAAAATGGGGGACCAAATAGGGGCTATCTATTCTATTTGATTTTTCATAATTTTGTTACACGATACCCTATAAATTAAAATTGCATTATAAATATTATGATAATTAAAATTGTACTACGTATAAAATATTAGAATGCATGCTTTTTAACACTTTATAAGAGTATCTTCAAAGACTATTTAAATATGAGATGCTCTCTATTTTAAAGAGTCAGCATTTAAAATCATGATCAATTATAATCTTTAAATTAATAATTTAATTTAGAGGGAGTAATTTGAAGAGACAAACTCAATCACTATAATTAAATGCATTCAAAATTTTCCAATTTTCAATGTAAGAAAATAATAAAATAATTTAAGGTTCATTTGATAGCAAAGGTGGAAAAAGGTAAACCAATTCCATATAAATTGGAAAAGAAAAAATCACCAAAACCATAAGAATTCGATTTTCATGGAATTGGCCAAAAACATAATTTAAGTGTTTGTATGTTGAAATTCGAACTCAATTTTCACATTTGTATTAAACAGTTAAAGTAGAAAACGAACTTCTCATATATGACATTTTCCATGGGATTTAATGCTATCAAATGGATCCTTAGAGAAAGTTAATTAGGTCCCGTTTGAACCACATTAATAGAAGAATGATAATGAAAAATATAGTCGTTATGAGCCCCACGTAAGAGATAGAAAGTCAAATATGATGACTTGATATGATAGATTACGATCATATTTTTTATTTTAATGGACAAATAATGGAAAATAAACAGGAGTTTAAAATAAAAAGATATTGAAAAATAATAAATATTTTTTTGGATTAGTAAAACGATTGTGTAATATAAAGAATTCAAAATTTTAACTTTTTGAATTTTTAGATACTTTTCAAATGATAAAATATGATTTTTAAAATGTCTTAGAGATGCTCTAACACAAGTAATCACCCGATGACATGACATATAGTAATTGTTTAATCACACATTTTTCAATAAAATAATAAATGAAAATATAAATTTTTTTATTTTTATTTTTTAAACACATATTCTTCATTAATTTACTATTTCAAAATGTATTCTTTACCGAATTATGACACTCGAACAAGCCCATAGTTTATTTGAATTGATTTATACATAGTCTTTGTTTGATAGCAATTTTTGCACCTTAAATAATCAAAATTTTGACTGTTATTTCATTATTTCAATCGCTATTTTTAACTTTTTAATTCACAGATAGAACTCACTTTTTTCTCTAAGGATCAAAAAATCAATTCTCATAATTACTACCGAATATGCCCATCGTGTCTCAAGCTCTCCTCAAAAGTATGGGTCTATTCGATAGTGATCATGAGAATTGATTTTTTACCATTAGAGAGAAAAGTGAATCCCACCTATGAGTGAAGAAATAAAAAACGAAGGCTAAAATAGTGAAATAAAGGTAAAAAAAAATTGATTTTTTGAAGTAAAAAATTGCTACCAAATGGGGTCTATACTTTATTGGGTAACTAATGATTGTTTGTTTGAATTGATTTGTATACATATGCTCAAAGTTCAACTTGATTAACCACGCATTCCATTTAGGGCTTGTTTGGGAGTGATTTTTTCATCCAAAAAATTATTTTTTGACCGTTATTTCACTATTTCAGCCGTTATATTTGACTTCTTCTCTCACAAATGGATCCCACATTTTCTTAACGATCAAAAAATCAATTCTCAAAATCACTCCCAAACAGGCTCTTAATTTTCCAAACATTTCTTTAATCTTAGCCCTTGTTTGAACCCATTAAAATTTTAATACATTTTTTCTATTCTTTTTAAACACACATTTTTAATAAAATAATATTATAAGTAAATCAAAAATATTTTATTCTTTTCTAATTACACATTTTTTAAAAAACTACTATTTCAAAATACATTTTACCCAAATTTCTTATTATATAATGGGGCCAAACAAGTTCTTAACAAAATAAAAGTAACGTTAATGTGAAAAATTACATCGGTACTCAGTATCAGATGTCTTTCATAAAAGGGCATCCCTTCGAAGGCAAGGAATAAACATCCCCCCACCTAAAAGCCCTCTCTCTCACTCACTGTACAAAAACAAAAACACGGTGGGGGAGTAAAATGTGAATGGCGATTATGATAACGATAATGATGGTGTTCTGTTGCACCTATCCGATCTTTTAAAAGCATCTCATTTTAGTATTTTACACACATATTTGTACTTCTATGTTTAATGCTCAGTTCAAGCGTTAATTAAAGGTATTGTTCGAATCTCAATGTGCGTTACCTTTTGCTATTTTTTCCTTTTGAGCTCCATTTTTGAAGCTATATATTGGTGTTTTTTTTTCTTTTAATGAATTTTCCCCAAATCTTGAGGTAGTTTTGAGGTAATTTTTTTTTGTTTATGCAATGGCGTTGTTGAACCATTTTTTTTTTTTTGCTATTCTCTGCTTCTTATTTTGTTGTGTGTAATCTGTAATGTTAATTTTTTCAACCTTCAATACCTCCGGATCTTTGATGAGGATTTTGGACTAAAATTTGGAATTAAATAGTTCTCTATAGATGATATTTGATTCGTAGAAGTTCAAAGGTCAATGAAACGCCTAAGAAATGATGGAAAATATACGCAATCTCTTGAACTTTTTGATTGCCCGAACTTAAGTTTTAATTTGTTTCTAATTTTCCTTTTCTTCATTCTAACAAAATTAAAAGGTATATTAATGGCAACAAGACATGGATCAAAATCTAAAAAACCTAGTCCAAGAGCAGCAGCCAGTAACAATTCGCTGTCATCACCAACCACATCATCATCGCAGCAATTTTTAGAACCCTCTGTTGATGGTCTGAGCTCACCGGCATCATCATCTACGAAAAGTAAAGTTCTGTACTCCTACTCAGAAAGTTTGTCTTTGGATTCTGAGAGATCCAAAGAGAATGTTACAGTTACAGTGCGCTTTCGCCCTCTAAGGTGAAAATGTTTAATTTTGCCCTAGTTTTACTCAATTTTGGTAGTTTAGTTTGTAATTTTGTTGATCTTTGTTCAGCCCAAGAGAAATTCGTCTAGGAGAGGAGATTGCATGGTACGCAGATGGTGATACAATAGTGAGGAATGAGCACAATCCATCAATAGCATATGCATATGGTATATTTATTTAATTACTTGGCTCTATTGTTATCTTATTGATTTTGTATTGTCCAAAGATGGACTCTGTATGTGAGAAGCAAAGCAGAAAAACACGAATGTATTATAAAGATTGAAATTTGAATTTATAGAACTATATATGGTTATAAAACAAAGCTTTTTCCTGTTAATAAGTCGTTTGAGTTATATGTCGCTGTTCGTATTGGTATTAATTTTTCCATTATTCATTTATTCTATTATTGTTGTAGTTTTTATTGGATCACGGTCAGCTCTCTGCCAACACCTTCCCACTTTTAGCTATCTTACTCTATTTACATTTACACTATTTGCAAATGATGCATTGCCTTGCATAATTAAAAAACCAACTTTTCCACTCTCATTGTTAGTTTTATATACCTGATGCATGCTACTGATTGCTTAAATGATTCTTGCATATGCTTAACAATTTCCAGATCGAGTATTTGGCCCCACAACCACAACACGACATGTCTATGATGTTGCTTCACAGCATGTTGTCAGTGGTGCTATGGAAGGAATCAATGGTATGTACCATTGCCAAAGATCTTTCATCATTTTATTTTGTGTTTTTCCTAAGTACCATTCTTTTCATCTTTTGGAGTTTTCGCTATTTCGTTTTTCTTATTTCAGGTACAATCTTTGCATATGGAGTTACAAGCAGTGGGAAGACACACACCATGCATGTAAGAAAACCTTCTTCTTGGTTTCTTTCAGGCTTCTTCACATTTTGAGATATGAGCATGTTATCTCAATATCCTGCTCTATGTACAACTATACTCAAAAACTTTTTAATTCAATCTCAATTTTTGTTTCTATTGGAATAAGAAGTAGATCCAATCCAGGACAATTAGATGTGTCAGGAAAAATTAGTACAAAAAAACTATAGTTCGAATTCCTACATATTCATTGGTATTGTTGGCTGTCAGGTTGATCCTTTGGGAAGAAGAAGGACAATACAGGCCATCAGTCAAAATTAACTCACTTTATTTTGCATACCACCATATATAAAATGACCCAACCTGCAGATGTCGATGAGCCAGCAAGAATTTGGTACTCACACACAAAACACAGATAAATATTTGCGAATCATATTCCTTTACAGTATTGCTCGTGGCTTAGCTTAGTATTTGGAAGGGAGTTTAGTAAATTGTGCCTGTACCCCCAGTATTTATTAACTGCATATTTGTGCTTAGTGATGCTCCTACCAACTGCTCCAGCACCTTCTTGTTTTCTGGTGGAGCACATGTTCCATACACTCCATTGTTTCGGTTATAGCCATGATACATTGTATGTTAACTACTGATAGTTGAACATATTCTTTTTGGAGAGCAACTTGATATCTTTAAATACTTCTTGTATGCACTGCAGGGTGACCAGAGGTCCCCAGGCATTATACCATTAGCTGTAAAAGATGCTTTCAGCATCATTCAAGAGGTACTTTGAGCGATTTAGCCTGAATTGCATCCTCCATTAGAAATTATGTCGTGAAAATGAATACTTATTGTTGTGTTTGTGACTGCTTTAGACTCCAAGTCGAGAGTTTCTTCTCCGTGTCTCATATTTGGAAATCTACAACGAGGTAAGATTTTTTCCATCATTCAGGTCTTTGTATTGGGAAGCATAGCTAGTGTGGCTCCATATCAGGTATCAAGGAGTAATTGGAGTGTCTAGTGTCATGCATTCCCTTTCAAATCATAATTATCTGGATGTTTGTGTTTCTGGATCCCCCTGTGATAGTGCTCTGCTCTCTGTATCTTGTTAAGCCCATGTTTGGGCTTCATTTTCATTTTAATACATTCTTCTTTTTTCTTTTCAATCATACATTTTTCAATAAAATAATATTACATGTAAGCTCAAAACTTTTCATTCTTTTTTAACCACACATTCTCCAAAAAATTAATATTCCAAAATACATTTTCCCCAAAACCTCATTGAAATAGAGCCCAAACAAGGGCTAAATTTTACCAATATGCATCCTTTTTACTTCAGAATCCTTCCTATTTTCTCATTATTGCCCAGCAGTTTATGACTTCAAACTGTTGCTCTCCAGTCTACATTTTTTCTAAACCAGCGGGACTCCTCCCCCTCCCCCGAGTCCCTTGCTCTCGTTTTCCTCTTATTTGTACCAGTGCCTGAAATTTCCCGTTCTCTGTTTTTTTGGGCAGTTGTTGGTTTAAATATCTATTGCATGTGATACTAGTTATCTTTTCCACTTGTAAGGATATCATTGCATACATTATCCAAGAAAAAGAAGCTTTCTTTAAAAGGTTACTCTGATTTCAGGTTGTTAACGACTTGTTGAATCCAGCTGGACAGAATTTAAGAATCAGAGAGGATTCTCAGGTACAAATTTATTGATTTCAAATCCAAACAATTATGAAATGTCCTTCACAAGCGATTTTCAGATTGTTGGGGTGGATCAGGAGATATATTGGAAAGATATTGGGGAGGGGCTGATTATGCCTTATGGGCTTAAATAAAAAACCGTGGACTTTTGAGTAAACTAAGAAGAGGAGGTAAATGGATGCAATACTAGTTTGAAGTATAGATAAGAGAATATCTGCTGGAGATGACTATAACTGGTAGTAGAAGAGGCTAACTGGCTAAGGTTTCATTCAACTTTGATGAAATGGAGTCGTATATCTCATGAAAGTAGCTTTTTTATGGCTACACTTAATCTCCTTGGATCGAGAATAAATCTAGAAATGCTGAGATAAATTACCTTATTAATCATTGCTCCTGGGATATGATCTGCTGCAGGGAACCTTTGTCGAAGGAATAAAGGAAGAAGTTGTATTGTCCCCAGCTCATGCCCTCTCCCTGATTGCAACAGGAGAAGGTACTGTGCTTTATCATCTTTGTTTTTGGTTTGGATGCTCATTCCTTTATCAGGAGGAGGGGCACACAGCCTGCATTTGATTTTCAGTAAGAATGATGTTCTTTGAATACAATTCATATATCATTTTAAGCGTAAATAAGTGAAGAGCTTTACCCAGATAGATAAGAAAATAATTATACATATGCTACGAACGAAATACACCTGTTTAGGTACCATTTTTTGTGATCCTTCGTAGGATCAATTTACTTGCCTCTTAAGATTTTAGGAAACTCGATGATTGGAATCACTGCATTGATTCAAATTGTTGTTGTTGCTAGTGCTGTTGCGACCATTACCATGTTACTCCATAACTGCTATTGTTACTTCTTGTATTTACTGCTAATGTGGCTATGTTGACTAGTACGGTTTTGATTTTGCTAGTGTTGGAGAGATAAGCGATGAAATCCTCTTAATCTTCGAATGAAATTATTACAATCTTTTCTAGCTTGTTTCTTAATTTTTGATAAATCTAATTGATAACTACAGAGCACAGACATGTCGGTTCAACAAACTTCAATTTACTCAGCAGCAGGAGTCATACAATATTCACGCTGGTTGGTAGCATTTTATTTGTTGAATTAAATATAACTTTAATTTCATATTTTTAAAAATTTGTCTCTGTATGTTTCCTTCAATAGTTGATAATTTCACTCGTATTATTCTTTTTATAGACAATAGAGAGTAGCCCATATGGTGAGAGTTGTGAAGGCGAGGCTGTTAGCTTGTCACAGCTGGTATATTTTCAAGCTCATACCGATTCTGCTTCCGTTGGCCAATCATTTAAGGCCTTTCATTAATTTTGAGATCTTTCTGCTGTTGCTTCATCATGATTGACAATTCTTAATTTCGGTCCATTTCACTCTTTGTTTTAGTGAAGGTGACTAGTTAAATAATTGTTGACTTGTGTTTTAAATTCATGCTTGCAGAACCTTATTGACTTGGCCGGTTCTGAGAGCTCAAAAGCCGAA